TATACGTGTAAAAACGATGCAGAGGTTGCTGCAGATTAGGCTATAAGTTATATATAGTTAATATCTATTAGCGTTGTAGAGTAATTAACGTTTAAGGCAGGTTTTTATAATAAAGTGGACGGCTTGCTTAGGTGGACGGCTCGCTTATAGAATACGTTAGCTAAGTTTCTATAGTTACCTGCCCGCTACTATATTATATAGGTGTACTATTTACTGTATATAATCTATAGGGTCTGTTTTTCTATTACTAAAAAATCCGGTTTTTCCTAATAAAGTTATAGAATATAAAATTTCCTTGCGCGCTACTATTTAGCAGTGCTTTTACTAGGTTCCTACTAATTTTAACTAATAGAATTATATATCTATAGTTCTAAATAGGAATAGAGTTAGGCTATATTACCGGGCTTTTTTTTTTTTCTATAATATAGGCTTTTCCTACTAAAGTAGTAATAGTTGCGGTTCGCGTTTTTTTGTCTATAGCTGCTCTATAGGACCTTTTCCTTAGCTACTTTAGCTATTCTATTATATAAGCGCCTTTTTATTTTTTAGCGGTTTTTATAGCTAATAGTTTATATATTTTATTTTATAATATACTAGATATAAGTTCTAGTAGTATATCTGCTAGTTTTTACCTTTCCTATAGTTTATTAGGTACTAAGGGTCTAGAAATATAGTAGCTACTTCTATAAGTTTATTCTTTTTACCTATAATATAGTATTCTATTTTTTTAGCTAATACTAGTTACGTAATAATATAATATCTAGTTTAGTATAGGTACTATCTGCGGTACTTTTTATTAGCAGAGTGCTTACTATATTTATTTTTAATATATAATACCTAGGATATCTATCTATAAAGTAGGTGGTTTTTATCTAACTATTTATTTTCCCTACTATAAACGCCTATTTCGCTAATAGGGTGTAATACCCCGTAGATTTCGGTTTCTACTTTAGTTCTATATAGTTTTAGTAGCTTTTATTCTAGTTTAATACTAAGTTCTCTATTACTAGTCTACTTACTTAGTTTATAATTTTTATTACTATTATAGTACTTCTTACTATCCTTAACAGGCAATTTATTATCTAGTTCTTACTAAATATTAGTACTTTTACCTTCTAGTATATCTAACCTTGCGCGTGTTCCTACGTTAGCGGTTATTATTATTATTATTATTATTACCCTAGTAGCTATCTTCGCTCCTTTTTCCTTAATAAGTTATTCGGTAACTTTTTCTATTGCTTTTAGGAACTTATAACTAGCTAATTCTCTTAGCTCTGCGCCCGCTATAGCGTTTTTAGCCTTTTACGCTTTTTAGCCCTTATTAAGGCGTGTAAGAATTTCTTTTGCGCTTTATTTATACGTGGCTATAACCTTAATAACCTAGGCCTCTGTATTCTATACTTTAGGTTTACTATTATTTTTATAGCTCGGGTATATTAGTTCGGGGTTCTAATTAAGGTTTAATTATCTAGAACGCTTTATCCGTTTCTAATAGGTAGTTAATCTCTATACTCTTAATTTCTATATCTGCGTAGTAGTCGCCTATAGAATTATTATTATACTCTTTGTTTTTTATTATAGTAATAGTACAGCCTTTTATTCTTTATATTAAATAGTACCCTATTACCTATTTATCTAACTAATAGGTAAAGTAGTTGTTGTTATAGCACGCGGTCTATAATATAGAATTGTGGCGGTTTATATTCGGCTTTACTATAACTGCTGCTATTCGGGTGTTTTTAGAGTATTTATTCGCGAAATATCCTTATTCTCCGTATAATAGGTATGCGCCGCTACGCTTTTTTTCTTACCTTTTTTTATTAGTAATAGGTTTACCTTTCTAGTTATTATATTGTTTTATAAAATTAATTTCTATATAATTTCTATAGTCGCGGTTAATTATCTTAGGTTTTAGCCTGGCTAGCTGGGCGTAGAAATAAAGTCCCTTCTTATCTGCCCGTTCTAGTTATTGTTTATACTATTAACTATTAATTTATATAGCTATTTCTTTAAGTTTATAAAGTATTAAAGGCCTTTCGCCTTATATAATTTTATTTTTAATATTTTCTTTAAGACCTCTATAGTACTGTGCTTTTAGAGCTTTATCTCCCTATAATAGCTTAAACGCGATTTATATAAATTCTAAAGTATAGCAGCCGGCTAAGCTCTTCTACTTTAGAATAGCAATCTATTATTCCGCCGTCTATTCTTTATTAGTATCTCCGAAGGTTATCCGGAGCGCGGCCTTAAAGTTCTTATAGTTGCTAAATATAATATTTATTTCTAGTTTTCGCTTATCTATATCGGCGTTGCTAAGCCAGTCTATAAGTAATAGGTTAAACTAGTTAAACGCTTCTTTTTTTAAAAAGGTTGCTGCTATATAGACTTTATTAGATTTAAATACAAGGTTATTCTAGTTTATACGCAGGTATAGCCTTATCTATATTATAAATGCTTGTAAAGTTCCTCTATTACTAGTAAACTTTTCAGGTTTATTTATTTTATAGCCTTTTATATTAACTGCTCTGCTAGTAGTAAGCTCTCTTTAAATAACCTAGAAATTTTCCTATAGAACTGTAATCTTTTTATTTTTAGTATTGCTAGCTTTTTCTAGTACTTATAAACGTGTAAGCAAGGCCTGTATATATATTACTACCTTAGTTATAGTTAAAGTTAGTCTAGCAGTTATACTGCCTAAAAAGGTTAGTAGGGCTATTTTAATTAATTATCTATATATAACTCCTTTAATATAGCAGTATTTAAAGTATAATAGGTTATTTCTTCTATATTTCCTAAGTACCGCGCACTAAGGCAGGATATAGGTTAAGTTATTATTAGGGTGTAATAGTCTTTAAAAGGTAAGGTAAGATTAATCTTAGGTATAAAACGGGGTTATTACTTTTAATAGGTAGTATTAAAGTCTTAAGTTAAATATAAAGTTCCTATTTATATAAAGAAGCGTTTTTATATATAAAAGCTCTGTCCTAAAAAACCTTTCTACTTATTTAGCTTATAGCCTTAAGCCTTTTAAGCGCTCTCCTAGCTCGCGGCTTTAAGCCCCTTAAGCTATTATATAGCTCCTTTTTTATAATATCCTATTCTTAGATTATTTCTATTTACTAGCAGTCTATAGGGGAATCTAGGATCCCTATATATCCGATATATAACCTTTTTAGTTCCGTAACCTAGTCCTGTATAATTAGTTTAATTTATCTACTTATTTCCGCAAGTGCTTCTGCGCTCGGGTGGTTTATATTGCGGGTTAAAACAGCTAGCTTTTTATCCGTAATAAAAACGCCTAGTAAAACGCCTAGGCGCTAGTATATTAGGTAAAGCTCCCGTATTATAAAGATATAGTCCTTTTTTTTTTCTCCGGGAAGGAAATAGTAGCCTAGTTTATAGTTCCTGCCTTAATTATTAACGCTATTAAGGTATAGCAGCGGTATTTTAAAGCGATTAGTTTTATAGGTATAATTAAAAAGTATAATATTAGGATTTCTCTAAAATATCTAAATACTTTTAGAATATATAAAGTATAGATACTTAATATAGTTTACTTTATCTAGCTTATATTTATAGTAGTAATAAGCGTCCGGGTTATTACTGCCGTGTTTTTTAAGCACCCTAAGTATTGCCTAAGTTAAAGTAAAGCTATTAAGCTTTATTTTCTTTTACTTCTACTTTTTATTATATAGGTCCTGTATTATTATATCCTTACCCTTAGTAATAAGGTTATTAAAAATAGCACCTATAAGCGTGCCTCTATTAAGCTAATTTTATATTATTTAAACTATAGCCTTATCTATACTATCTTAATATATAGCTAGAGTACTATTCTCCGGGTTAAACAGCTTATAATTATAAATAGAAACCTTAACTTTAAAGAACTAATTACCTACTTATAGGTCTTTTATAAGGGCTTCTTTTATAAGGTAATTAGACTTCTTTATACAGGTGTTCCTCTTCCTGCTAGCTAATATATAGGTGCCCGCATAATTATATTAAATAAGTACTTTCCGCACCTAAAAGGGCGTGCGCTTGTCTATTTTTTTATTATATTTAATAAGCGCGTATTCTTCCTACTTAGCCTAAGTATTAATAGACTTTATACCCTTTTTTACGGAGGCGTAGCAGCTCTAAAAAGAGGGTTAGAGGACTATAGTAATAAGGCTATTAATATAGAAGAAGTAGTATTAATATATTATAACTAAGTATATAGGTAATATAAATTCCGTATTAAGTATAAGTAGGTAAGTAAGTAAGTTTAATTAGTGGAACAATATTTATACGGGCCGGAGCTAGGCCTAATTAAAAGGGGGTAATAAATAGAAAAAAAGGGGGTAATAATTAGAGAAAGGGGGGGTAATAAATAAGCTCGTCCTAATTTTAACGCTATTTAGTTCTTAAAGTACTTAAAAAGGTGTAAAAAGTACTACTAAAGTGTATAGTAGCACTAGTCCTGCTATTTATAGCCTAATACTAAGGCTTAGTATTACGCTTACAACCTTACGTATTCTATATTTTCCGGCTCGCATTCCTAATACTAAGACGTCCCTAATACTAGAATATTTTATATCCCTATTTCTAAAACTTATTTTCCACGCCTTTTAGTTCTTAGAGTACTAAAGAGGGTCTATAAAGCACTGTTAGAGTATATAGTCGTATAAGTCCTATTATTTATAGAAATATTATCCACTTACGTACTGCCCCACGTATTCCAAATTTTTTGGCACGCATCCTTAATGCCAAGGCTTGGCTTTAGGGTAGTGGGGCGGGCACGTGGTTTTACGGTGTCTTTCCACGCGAAAAGCGCTGTTAGAGGTAATAGAAGGATGCGAGCTACAGCCTGCATATTAGATGCTGGAAAAATGTAGCAGCTTTCCTTAGAAGTCCAATCTTTAAATGTTTTTAATTAAGTCTTAAAACCAAAAATTAATATTATATATTATACCCTTTAAATTAGTGATGTTATAAATAGTATCAGCTTCAAAATATTGATTCCGAAGTACCTGACCACTTTTGATTCGATCACGTGATCGAGTGCCTCTCTCAGTGACTATGTGTGCTATGGTAAGAGCTTCTTATTCTATCCTTGAACACGTTATTCAAATAATAAACCGTATAAGCTTTATTATGTTCAGACCTCTTCTACAACAAACGAAGCCAAGAGAGGGATTTTACCTAATTACCTGGTGCCGAAGCGCGCCCCTTTCGTTACTATCTTTTTCAATCCCTTTCCCGATACAAACATCTAAGACTACGCCATATCATCTGCCTTAATAACAGGCACCCCCAGCCTTCCCCCCGACGGAACAGCTGTCCCGCTCAACTCGGCCCTTTCTCCTGCCTTCCCAACAACAGGCCCATCTCTATCAGCTTCACTCACCCCATGCTGCTCCTCCATCTCTACCCTCTGCTGTGCTTCAAGCTCAGCCCTACCATCTCTCCAATCCTCTCCATGAACCTCCGCTAGCGACGTCGGTGATAGCTCTTGCGGCTCCCCCTTCGCCTCCAGCTCCCACGGCAGTTCCACCCCAGGCGCTTCGAGGGGGTGCTTGTCGTCGCCCACGGCTTCGAGCCGCTCACCTGTCGTCGGAGCTTCGGCCATAGGCGTTGGGGGACGGCTTGGGGGTTTAGGAAGGCGCTTGCGATAGATGAAATACGCGGCGACAAGGATGGCGGCGAGTCCAGCAATCGACCCGATGACCGCGCCAACAATAGTACCAGTGTGTGATTTCTTACGATTTATCGCAGGCGTAGCGGTTGCCGTCGGGCCCAATGTCGTACGCGTTGCGTTCATCACAGCTGCTAACGCTGTGTTCCCATATCCCTTCTCTGGCGCTTTCAGTGTGGCAGCCCCTATGGAATCACCACCGATTACCTTTACGATGGCAGGGGTGACATTGTAGGCTGGTGCGTCTTCGATAAAGACAGTGCCCCATAGGGCGGCGGAGAGGTCATAGATGGCAACGCCGCGGACTTCCCAGTCGCAATGGTCAGTGGTCTTGTTGAGTGAACCACCGACAGTCAGGAGTTGGCGCTTGCCGGGGCCAACGATGTGGCAGGTATGGCCCCAGCGCGGGGAGGAGCCGGTGTAGATGAGGGTCCAGGTGAAGGAGGGGAGGGAGAGGGCGTATATGTCGTCGTAGAGGGTCATGTTGGATGAGGTGGGGTCGCGGCCGCCATATAGATATCTGGAAGGGTCAGAAGATGCCGTGGACTACGACGCAGCGGAAAAGGGAGTAAGGTGTGAGATGTCAATATGTCGGTATGTTGAAGTAAGGTGGTGAGAAATAAAGAAGTAAACGTTGTGAAATAGCGAACGAAGAAATAAGTGACGTAATACGGTACGTAAACAACAGACCACGTACATGTTATGGGATGAGTTATCTGGGGCAGAAGCGAGCACGACGCAGGAATCAATTCGGGGTGGCGGAATGCTACCCGTCGTGGCCTGGGTATACCAGGTCCCGTTGGTGGCCGGGGTCTCGAGGTACGATGCAATATCAAAGACATCGACAGTATCATATGTAGCCTAGCTGTGTTAGAGCATATCAAGGATGATTTCTGCTAACGTACAAGAGTTTGCGCCTTGAATGGCCCTGGGCCAGATTGATTGCGGTATGCGCCTCCTAAGGCAACCAATATACCGCTTCGGCCAAGACCTGGTACGTATCCCATACTTCCACCCGCTCGAGGGTATGTGCTTTCATTGAGTCCTGGAGTCGAGATGTTCGCAAAAGTTTGATTGGCCAGATTTATAACGACCATTCCAGGAAGATTAAGAGTGTTGTTACCGAGATCATTTGTCGTAAATCTGGTACCGTTATCGATCTGTCCATTCAAGTAGAAGGCTAAGCCTTGGTCTGGTGCTTCTGCAGAGAGACCATAGTTTGGCTCTTCGACGAGGGGACCCGCAGAGAACGGCGACCATTCCTTGGTGTTAGTATCGAAGGACCACAGTGGCGTTGCGGAGCTTTGCATCGTATGCCAGCCTGGAAATGAAGTGTTGCCCTCGAAGGAAGTTCCGCCGAACGTCCATATGCGCGAGTCGTCAGGTGGGCCTTGGTAGGAAGCGCCACGGATGAGACCTGTTTGGGGAGTAGAGCCTTTAGGTAACAATACAAATGTTAGCGGGTTTTCATAAAGAAAGGGCGTTGAAGACAGACACTAGGTCCTCTGGTGCTGGCTGTCCTTGAATGCCACTCAGGTCATGTTTAAGACACCACTACCGAGTTCAAAGCGGCTGAATTGGGTGCTCAAACGCAATTTGAGTGGGTGTTCAAACACGGTATGAGTCGTGTCTCAACACGGTTCCAGGAACAATGACAACGGAGGACTCTGGTATGTGTACTAGGACCTTGCGTACCGGAGGCTGGATTTTCTGTTTTGTTCAGCTTCGCTTCTGTGATGTTTGTCCACCAATTCCAAGTTTCGTTGAGCAGGACTGTAATCGTGTACAGGTCTAGTTCGCGTCAGTATGGGCTGGATACAGCTAAGAGGTTGTTACTTACTAACACCAATAGTATTTCCAACATCAGTGCCTGCTAATGTTAGCGTATTTGTAATGGTGTTAAAACAAGCTACAGACCATTGGTGTAATTAGTATTATCCAGCCGGAAAGTTTCGATTCCTCCATCAATATAGAGTGTGTCATTCCGTATTGTTGCTAAGATGATCAGGTGATGTCAAACCCAAGAGATAGAGTGTTCACAAACAGGAGTGCTGCCATCGTTCGCAGTGATTGTAAATAGGATCGAGTTGCGCTGCGCATACGTCCAACAAAAGCAGAAGAGCAACCTGAGAGCAAAATAACGACCCCAAACGCCTGTAGAGACTGAAGTTTTTCATGATCACGTGAATGCCAAAGGCCGGGGTCCCTTCAGCCACAGCCGGTACCTGAGCAGCCAAGACGGAAGCTCAGTGCCGACTACTGGGTGCCGTTACAATGGCCCCAATGGCGAGCGGGGTGGGTGGTTCGGACAGTCGTCTCTCAAAATAGCTCTCTTTACCTGATCATGAAGCATTTTTAGACACAAGAAAAGTCGGGGCATGGGGAGTTGGTGCGGCTTAACAGTTCGCGGTGATTATGCGAGACGACCGAATCGGAATCAATCCATAGCGAAGGATGGCCATTTTCCAGCGGAGGTCCTACAATAACTGTGAGTTAGTGGAGGTCGCTATGCAGTCGATCGTGGCGATTGCCCCAGAGCAGCATTTTCGAGGCGAAGATGAGCCCAAGCTTATCCCAAAGAGTTAAGGTTACCGAGAGTCGCAAGCCCAACTCGGCGCTACTCCGAAAGGTCGGAAGATGCATTATCGCGAGCTGAAAAAGAAGCGATCTCGGGTGTAGCCAGGCGTACCGTGGGGAAGGCTATTGGCGACGACCCTGAGCACGGAGGGGCAGCTCCGGAGCCATTGCTGGCTTACTCATCTTACTGTACTCGGAAATCGGGATGACAGAACAAGGATCGGAAGCTCGAGCCGAAGGCAAATCTTGCGAAATGTCGCCAAGTACAAGTGGCCCGCTGCTCCAGCACTCCATCGGTGCGTTGAAGTAAGACGTGGCAGAAGTCTGTACACCGATGACGAGGCAGTGTACCTGTACAAGATGTTGCTGGGCCACAGTTGCTGATATCAGCGATCACAACTTCGTTGGCGCTATCGGACGTGACTGGCGGAGGTGAAGCAGCCGGGCACGAGGGCGAGGGCTGCATGTGATACTATCTCGAGGAAGCAGGCGCCAATACGAGCTCTTGGCGTTTTCTCCCGGGCACAGAGCCCATTGTTGCGTCTGATCTCCTAGTTACATCCTACAAAGGTAGTATCTTTGCGTTGAGGACACCCAGAACGCTGAAACCACACCACCGTAGCCTCAGGCTCTGTTGTAAGCTCTAGGTAACTCGTTAAACAAGGCGGTGCGCTTTCGGGTTCTAAGGGTGCATCACATCTAAAGATATCGCCATCTGATTTGCCATCACGTCTTACTAAAGAATCGGATGCCTTCAACAAAATCGTAAGGAGAGAAAAGTTAGATAGAAATTTGAAGGACCGACGCATCCAGAGAATGTGAAGAGGAAACTCAACAATATCTCATTGAGGATTAGGTCGAATGTTGTAGTGAAAACAGGCTATTTTTCTTACCGAGCGAGTGTTAGGGGACCTCGGACGTTGAAGAAGGTAAGGCTATTTTTAGCGCGGAGGAAATGACGGACCGGACCCTCACCTTGGAAACTTAACGCCCATTTCTACCTCAACTGTCTTGAGAACTCCTTTCGAGATATCAACGTATCAGCATTCGTCAGCCATCAGTACCTATCATTAGCACCAGGAAGCGTTCCCACAGCATCAGGGTGTCGATGTTGCATCTACATGAAGAAAAGGGACACAGTGAGCATGCCCGGTTTTTTACGTTCCTTCATGGGTTGAAATACGCTGGAAGAACTCGATAAGAACTGTCTGCCAAGTGGTCGGGAAGGATTCGACTCCAATGAGATTCAAGAAAGAGAGGGATGCCATGTTGTAGGTGTGTTTCACATCCGTACTTCGTAATTCACGAAGCGAGGGTCTTTGTCCTTCTCTTTTACGATGTCTCATCAATCATCTATCAGCAAACAGGCTCCGGATCGCGACGAGTTGCTTCGGAGTCATTCGAAAACTCAGCGCAAGAAGAAATGAAAGATAGAATATAAAGTCGCTCAGGCTCCGCCGCATCATTGTATCTCTCTATCGCTCCTCCTTCCTCCTTCCAATGTCCTACCTTCTAAACAGTAGGAGCTTAATTGACTTATGCCAAATGAACCGGCGAGCTATCATCATACACGACGTCATTTGAAAATAAACTGACGAGATCGTACCCGCCGCACACGTCGGGTGCTTGCCTCCTCATGAATTCCGCCGGGACACGAGTCGAGATGGACCTTTTAGTGCTTGTAACCGCTCCACCTCCGGCTATAAATGCATCATCGACAATGACGAATACGACGTTCGTGTGCACATTTTCCGCGACGTAGATGCTGATGGCCGTTTTGATAGGGTTCACCACGGCCCACCAAGCCGCCATATCGTCGTAGGCTGGGGCCGGTGGCAAGGACACCTGTAACACGAATCAGCACCGTTTCGGTGCCTGTAAAAGTTGACGCGGTGAATTAGGTCCCGACTACGCCGTAAAGTAGCTGGTTCGTGTCCTTGTATAGACCCTGGAAGCCAGTAACGAGCGTTCCGGCATCGATGGCTCGCGCAGCCCCCCTAATTACAGGCTTCAAGTTTGAATAGAAGGCCTTGGTCACGTGTGGTCCAATTCCGGACGATGTAAACCAGTCGCGGAACTGAGTAAGGATGCGGATGCCTCCAAAGATACGGAAACTAGCTTCGTTACCGTGGCCATTGCGCGAGATGTAGACAGTGACTCCGGTAATCGCTGTCACGCTTCTCGACATCTGAAGGCTTGGCGTCGAGCATGGGGATCGCAATGACACAAGTAGCGAAGAGCAAGGGAGCCTAGAGTGGGTTAACGGTAGACAGTATTCAAAGACTATGGAAGAAACTTGCAATGAAATTTGTGAGTTTCATGGTTTCGAGAGCGTCGATATTGAGACAAAGCCAAGGAGCAATCGAGAAGAGCGAGATGGTGAAGTTGTTATAAACGACGACGAAAGCAGAACTGGAAGGGGAGCAAAAAGAATAAACGCAGATGCTAGTGGAGTGTTACTGTAATCTCTGATGATGATTTTAACCACCATGGGAACCGGGATATATAGGGGTTTTCGGGCTAAACAACTGCACCTAGTCACCTGCGGCACCTCGTATACGATATCTCCCCATCCATCCTAAGCGGACTTCCTCCTTGCCCTGAGTTCCACGTCCATGTACTTTGGAACTGGCCGAGCTAGGATGAAGCTGAGCTGAGCATACCGCCGTTTCAGATGGAGGATCGCCAGTACGAGCTTGCAGGAGAGTTTATATCGGGCAGGAAATAGGACTCAGGCACTACATGCTGACATCGTGGATCTCGAATTAGACGTGTAGTTGATCGTGACGGATCAAAGTGCCTGTGCCCTACTATATTTTCAAGCGAGTAAGCGAGCAATCCAATCACAGCAGAGCAGTCTTCGAACACAATATGCGCTAGCAGCTAAAAGAAGAGCCGCAGGGCTTCGAGAAAATGTCATCAATACAATCTTTTTGGACCCGTGGGCAACTTTGTCAATCTTCCTGCCGTATGATTTTGTTGGGGGAGCACACATTCAGCCCAATCCGTCGTGAGACCGCACTTTTGCACAGTGCAAGCCTGAGACAGCATTCATCGCGATTGGTGCCCTCGCTAGAGTAGTAATTTGATGTCGCTAAAGGGTCAATGCCTCTGTCGTGCCCAAGGTATCGTCTTCGTGAAATGGCTTGGGATAGAATATATAACAGCATCACGAACCAACAGTCTTCTGATACTACCTCCTGGCCTTGGATCTCCTCTTTCATTTAGTCGTGGTTCCTCGCAGGCACTCTATCCTCTTGGTCATTTGACTTTTGGCGACCATTTCTCCTCTTTCAGTCTCCTCTTCATCAGAATGTCCACATTAAAGTACTTCGCCCTCGTCGGCACACTCCTCGCACTTCTCAGTGGCACCACAGCTATATCAGAATCATCTCCCAGCCAAAGCTCGAAACGTGATGATACCTGCCATTTTTCCAACTTCCAATGGGCCCTCATCGACTGCTACTACGACTTTGGTGCGTACATTCTCCCCCTCTTCCACCTCCATCTTTTTCTCCTGACTCTTTAACTCGCGACATCAATCACGGACGGCAACTTCCTTAACTACGTTGTGCGCATTGAACCGACCGATCAAGGCACCGGCGCAGACTGGTGCCGCGGTGTCGTCGCTAACATGGTTGGCGAATGTGGACGGAATCCTCCCAACGTTGCAGTCATCACAGACGATTGGAGCACTCGCAACGACTATCTCACTAGGCTGGCCTCGGGCATTGATATGAACTTCCACTGGCAGTGGCCGTGGTCGACGGATGATGGAAACTCGGCGTGCATTGGAACGACCATTCAGAAGGCGACTTGTGATGGTGGTGTTACGTTTGTGAATGGAAGTTGTTATTTGAGATCGACGATCTGAGGAGGGTAGTTGGTAGGGCGGGTTTGGACGTTGGGATCGGTAGGGCTATCGAGATGCCGAGCTTTGGAAAGATAGGTAACAGGCGGGTGTCCAAGATTCAGAGTGGGGAACAATCAACTTAAGTTGATAGATTGATTGATTTGATTTGGTTCAACCAAATCAATCAATCAATCCGAAGAGGTGGATTTTATCAATCAAATCAACTTCAAGGCATCAAATTGATTGATTTGATTGGTTTGATTGATTCCTATTTGCGGAGCGTAGATAGAGTATCCTATAGAGAGCCCACCTAGCAGAAGTGCTTACTAAGCAGTCTCCTAACCCTGATTTTCATCCTAACTCACATCAACGCGTCCAACACCATACCACCTCTGTACAATATCGCACCCAGCAATGAATCAGAACCTTCAGAACGTACAGCAGGAAGTTATCGCACGCGCAAATCGAAAGAAACCTCCCCGTAAGGTTAATTCTATGCGCGCCGAAGTCAACACGAATGAACACGTCGAAACACCTGCCACGAACGACGACGACGTTGACAACGACAACCTATATGAGAACCTCAATTGGCTACGGGTACCGCATCTGCAGAGAAGGCCTTACGAAACCTTACGACCGTCAAAAGCAAGCTGGATTTACGCGTACGGTTGGCCTGTTTACCATCGAAAGCAGCGCCAGAAGTTCTGGCTCTGCAAGTACTGCCACATACACAGAATACCTAGCGGCGAGTTCAACGTTGAGAAGGCTACTTCGTCAGCTATGGCTCACCTAGGGCGGCAACAGCGTGGCCACGGGGTTGATAAAGATGGCCAGATCAACTTCTCTACTCCAAACCAGACGTCAGTGTTGGCGACAATGCAGTTCCAGGGCATTAATGTTCCACAGGACGTGGCTAACAAGCTGGCGGACAGCTTCAATCGGGCGAAGTTTCTACGCGCTGTTCAACACTGGGTTGCTGATAATAATCAGGCTTTACGCGTTATTGAGAAGCCTGCCTTCCGCAGCATAATTGCTGCTGCTAGACCTATTGCCAAATTAAGCCTATGGAAGACCTATTGTACACTCCGAGAATCCATTATAGCCGAGTACAATTCCTATATACCCGCCGTGATTAAACACCTCCAGCAGGCAACTAGCCTTATCTATATATTATTCGATAATTGGACTTCAGTTGGCAATAAGCGTGCGCTTACTGGGATATATGTATATTATCTAAACAAGAATGGCCGGCTAGAGGACTACTTATTAGGCCTGCCTGTTCTTCTAGGCCAGCACTCAGGCAAGAACATCGCGGAGATAGTTAGCTCAACGTTACAATTGTTTAAAATTAATGCTAAGCGCCTTAGCTACTTTATACTTAACAACGCCATAAACAACAACACTGCTTTAATAGCGATGGCCGATGAATTCGAGTTCAGCATCTCCCAGCGTCGGTTACGCTGTACCTGCTATATTCTTAACTTAGCTGCCTAAGCAATTATATAGGGTAAGGATAAGAAGGCATTTAAGAGCATGAACGTGAATATACGGGTAAAATCACGTTTCTAATCTTATTGCTATTCTATATTGCGCTAACAGTAATATAGGAAGAAGAACTGCTAATAGTAGAGTAGAGGAAAGCCGGGCCTATCGGGGTGCTATTCAACGTTATATTATCTATTAGCGCCTCTCTATAAGCCCGAGAGCTGTTTATTAAACTGCAGGCAGAGGACTTAAAGCGCCGCAATAAATCTTATAAACTAAAGAAGCTTATTAAGCCTATTAGAACTTGGTGGAACTCTTACTACAATTGCTTTAAGCGCGCCTGTAAGCTCTAAGGCCCTCTCGACGCGTATATATATATAAAGCTCGAGGAATACAATATTAAAGCAGCATCTCGGCGCAAGGATATAAAGAAGGAGAAACCGCGGTGCTTTATTAAGGAGCAAGGGCTAAACACAGGTAATTAGGCAACAATTACAGAGTATAAGCAGCTGCTTAAGCTGTTTAAGAATGCAATAACGTGGCTACAGGGCAGAGGTTCAGCTGGTAGCCACGGAGCTATTTGGGAAGTTCTTATTATATTTAAATAGCTACTCTCGGCCCTTAAGGAGCAGAAGGAGAGGCTTAAGGCTATTAACTACAAGGATCCAGATGCACCTGAAGATCACTTAGTTATTAATATTAACGCCGCCTATAAGAAACTCGCGGATTACTACGGGAAGATAGAAGACACCTTTATCTATTTTGCAGCTATAATACTCAGGTTGCAGCACTACAACCTAGGATCAACAACTCATATGCCAGAAAGCTACTCTCCGAACATCAGCTGTAGAGAACCCAGCTGAAATCTCAGCTGTAGAGAACCGAGCTGAAGCCTCAGCTGTGCAGGGCTCATCTGAACTTACTAGCGCGCCACCCTGGGGGTGGCCCCCTTCCCTCCCCTAGTATATATACAACTAGCTAGACGTCTATAGAAATCAGAGTTCACATCAATTTAACCTGAGTATAATACTTCATCCAGCATATAAACACGCGCTTAAGGGGCTATGGAAGGTGCCGAAGGATTACAATATAAAGCGCGATAGGCCACATCCGTACAAGAACTGGCTTTCAAATGGCTATAGCTCCTTCCGGCTGCTGTGGCAGGTATATAAGGATAAGGTGGCTGCAAAGGCTGCTGGCGAAGCATCTCCTACCTCGTCTCCTGATGTGAGGCCTGCAAAACGCCGTCGAACAAGCCCTATAAACGACCGAGCAGACTTCCTTAGGAACTCTATGGAGGAGGGCAAGCAGGAGATGGAGGAAACTGTTGACGACGAGTACGAGAGGTGGAAGCGCGAGCCAACTCTGAAACAGGACAACCCACTAGCGAAGGACCCTATTCAGTACTGGGTTATCACAAGAGATCGCTATCCTATTCTAGGCCAGCTAGCCCTTGATATCTACTCCATCCCAGCCTCCTCAGCTGATTGTGAGAGAATTTTCAGCGAACTTGGCGATCTCCTGGGCGTACGACGCCTTAATATGAAGCCTGAGTTACTTAGTGCTCTGCAATCTATACGCTCCTGGCGTCGAATTGGCATCAAACCTCCTAAGTAGTAATCAACTTATCAATCAATCTATCAATCAAACCAATCAATTCAACTTGGGGGTCAAAAAGTATCAATCTCATCAACTCAACTTGAGCATCTCAGAAATTAATCAAATCAAATCAAATCAATCACAGCCTGTTCAACGAAGCAATCAATCAACTTGGAGACGTCAAAGTTGATTGATTGATTGATCCCCACTCTGCCAAGATTATGGCGATTGCAAATATCGTCTCCAAATACGTCGGGAATCAAGGGATAGCTTCTTAATTGAAAGGCCCCCTCTGCATCGTCCGTTTCGCTTGTCAAGCAATCTACACGAGGATTCTCTAAAGATTATTTCATGGTCTCTCGATAGTCATCATCGTGAGATTTGTGGAGTTAACCTCGTCCCGTATTTCGCATTCTTAAGACGATACTGTCAGGCTCCGTTGAACACATAATGGCAATCCACGAATGAAATACTCTGCTCTAAACTTCTTACTCTACGCCACGCTTTCTCTAGGCTTGTTAGTGTACACTTGCCTAGCCCTGCTTGAGGTCTCTGGCATACTTGAAAAGTTCAAACCCGAATGTTACGGCAAGCTTGATAGTAATCCAGGCCGCCTCCCAGGGTCTTTACCTACCATTTCATGTTCATTTCAATACAGCCTGGCTGTCTACAGCTTGAGCTATTCCCTTCTAGAGCAATACTCTCCGATTGGCTAGCGTAGCTATGTGGGCTCCAGCGCTAGGCTGCATTAGTACTCTAGTCTCTCATTCGCTGGTTCATACCCCTCACCCTATTTTCACATAGCTGAATGCCCTTCATGACGCCTCGACAAGAGCGAGCAAAGACCATCTTCCGGACTTTGTTATCAATCGCCGTCGGATTTTGCTAAAAACCGGTTGGTAGTAAGTCCATCCTCCTACCGACGCTAGTTGTCCCTAGTTGTCTAAAGCACCTCTAAAATATATATAAAGGCGTCGGCCACGTCTTCATGAAAGCCTATAAGCAAGCATTCTCATACTTGCATCATACTCTGCCGGTACTCCCTAGGGCTTTCTTTATCTCTGAACCTAATAAGCCCCCTCACACCAGCATCCACCTATTCAAACCATGGCTGCCGAAGTCGCTACCCAACCCCTCAACCTTCCCCTCTACGCCACCACCGAGAAGTGCTCAGGCGGCACCTACATTGTCACAGGTGCCAACACCGGTCTCGGTTTCGAAGCGGCTAAGCATCTCGTAGCCCTTGGTTCTGCAAAAGTCATTCTGGGCGTCCGCAACCTCGCCGCAGGTGAAGAAGCCAAAGCGAAGATCGAGGCCGCAACCGGAATCACCAACGTCGCCGAAGTATGGGCGCTCGACCTCTCTAGCTACGATTCCGTCAAGGCTTTCGCGAAGAAAGCGATTGCAGAGCTCGACCGTATCGATGCGCTGATTGAGAACGCTGCTGTCGCTGGAGCGCAGCGAGTAATAGCTGAGGGGCATTTGCAGGCCATTACAGTCAACGTGCTTAGTACACTGCTGCTTGGCGTGCTTCTGCTGCCGAAATTGAAGGAGAATGCGAAGAAGTTTGGTATCCTGCCCCATCTTGTTGTCGTCTCGAGCAGAGTTGCCTTTGACGTCAAGGGGGTATGGGAGAATATCAGGGATGATCCATTGGCGAAGATAGACGCGTTTGAAGACGCCGCTATTATGTCAACGTATGAAGACTCTCTGAATGGAAATGCCAGATCGCTTCATTTTAAGCTGACACTAAGCCACGTAGATATCCCCTATCGAAGCTCCTAGAGGTTAACGCGATCCGTGAGCTCGCGAGTCTACTCCCTCTATCCCGCACAGGGGTTGTCATGAATCTCGTTTGCCCCGGTCTCTGCAAAACCGATCTCGGCCGGAACGCACCGGCTTCGTTCCGCGAGACCCTCGCCGCTATGCATGCGAAGTCAGGGCGAACTGCCGAGGATGGCAGCCGGACGCTCTTGCATGGAGCCGTTGCGGGGCTAGAAAGCCATGGGTGTTTCCTCAGTAATGCCAAGATTGCTCAGTGAGTAGATACCCTCGCTTTTATTCGTGAATTTGCCGAAGCTTATGCTGACATGGTGATGAATCAAGGGAAAAGGTGCCCAGCTGGGTGACCGATGAAGAAGGGATCGCTACGCAGAAGCATACCTGGGAACTCATTGCCAGTGAGCTGGAGGCCACCGAGCCGGGGTGTGTGAAGAGGATCCTGCAGGAATAGTGCCATCTTGCTTGTAACTTCGTTTTCTAAGTAGCCTCTGAATTCTTCGAGGTATTAAGTAGCCAAAGCCGTATCAATACTGTAGCAGCGACTAGGAAGACATCTATTCCTCATGAAACCCTCTCGTAGAGAGATTGGCTTGGGTTGTCGTGGAGGGCATTGATCCATGGAAATTTAACAACCGTTCGACGTACATCTTCCCAAGTATGAAGGCTTAGAGCATGTGTCGTCTCTAGCAATTTCGGGGCTAGCCATGCATCGTCAGTGTATGTGAAGACTGAAGCTCCTCCGATGGACAACACCCAAAGTAGCAATTCTTGGCTCTCTCGCCCGTCGTCAAAGTTCTCTTCAGCAGCTGAGCGAGCTAATTGCGAGAGAAGAGGAATCTCCACGATCCTGCGGTCAAGTCGCCGTAAAAGTGTCATGAGAAATAACGCTAGTCCCAAATGGACAGCATTGTCCAGACGATTCGAGGGGCGCGGCCCTCCTAGAGGGCTTATTTGAACGAGGCGATATCCGAGTAATATGACAGTATCATGAAATTTCTGGGCATTCAGTGTCGGTCGTCTTCCTGCACTTGCGTCGTTGAGAAGTCCGGCAAGATCTGTCATAGCTGCTAGGAGTTTTTGTAATTCAGCACTCAGATGTTTGAAGAACCAAAAATCGAGAACGCTAGCGTGTCTTCGAGTGTCATGGCCTTCAAGGCTGCTGGCAAGTCCGACCAGGGCTGTGCTTGTGGGCATGATGTCCTCAATGCTGAAACGTGTCGTAGTGCCCAGAAAGAGAGCGTACTCGAGTTCGGCGCTTTTCAAAGGTATCAGTGTTACGTCAGAGAGCGAACCGTACTTCGCGTAGATGGGACATCTTACCTAATTATCTTTTTGGCCAAAGTAGGAGCGTCCCTTGTGAGCTTGCAGATACCACCTCGCAGCTCGGCCATCCGATGAAGTCCTTCTAAATGAACGAGGCCCTGATAGTACTGGTTCTGAATACGTTCGTATTGAGTGAGCAATAATACTACCGCAATGGTAGTATCGGAGACGGTGTCGCTTCCTGATAGCCTTTCGTTGACTATACGGAACATGCGCGACAGGTGGCGCATTGTCTCAGTGGAGTCTTCTTGCTTTATGACCAAGTTGTTGAGGGCCGTAGTTGATACTGCTATGACACAATGGAAGTCTGGACTAATGTCAATAGAGAGCTGAAAAGATACGATATGGATAGGCGAGAAGGTAGTACACACAGGCTTCGTCGAGGAACATGAACTGGACCCACATCGAGGTAGAAGCCCCTGTGGAATCAATGGCATCACTCAACTCGGGAACGCGACGGGGCTCGCTGATAAAGGAAAAGGCTCTTTCGACAAGATGCTTGGACCTATGACGCTGTTCTGGAAAGGAGAGAACGGACAGCCAATCGCCAATAAGCTTTGGGGTTCCAGGAACTATGTCTTTAATGTATTCTGAGTCTTGTGTATCCTCTGGGATCTTTGGGATATGAATAACAGCTTTGGAAGTCTCGGGTCTCCGTTCAAAAGCCTTGATTCTCGACGGCCGCACGATCTTTCTGCCGACGTTCTTCCCCATAGCCGCATGACTACGAATCCGTCTTCTCGTGGCACGGTCGGCTGAAGCATTGCTATCGATGAATTGGAAGGGCATGTTTGGTGCTGCAGCCCATTAGGCTTATTCGCGTTCCAGGAGTGCGGAGTTTTGGAAGTGCGAGTTGCAGAAACGGATTTAACGGATTTAGTGGGATGAGCTAGCTCTAAGCGGTACAACTATGGCCATCATTCTTGTTAGGTTGGGATGGTGTCTTCTTTGCAGATGATTCTTCCAATGTTGTGTGAAAGTATTGAGGTTTAAATAAGGGGCCTAATGCCAACTAGTTAGTCATAGCACACGTGATTACTGTCACTCTATCCCAGACAACGTCCACAAACATAATCAAAAAAGGATTCCGTCTGGCCTATAGAGCTTTTGTTTATGGGTTTGATCACTTTTTTCACCATCTGATTAGATGGCTGGACCTCGCGGGCTCTCAATCTTGCCATTTCGCATTGGGACTTGGGTTCATATACAAAAAAGATTCACTTTCCATATCAGCAAAGGACGAGCTTAATTACCACCCCCCCTTTCTCTCTGCATCACCCCCCCCTCCCTGCATTTAGCCTAGCTCCGGCTGGTAAGAACTTTGTTCCACTAATTAGATTCACTCGCTTATGTAAATTGGAAAGGCTACACAAATCGGAAAGGATGTATACACATGCAACAATAGACTATTTACTCTATTTACTCTAGCTAGTCTAGAAGCGGAAAGTTCCTAGATGGCCACCTCTTTATTGCTAATTAAAGGGAACGCCGTATACACCATTATACCAAGGTCTTACACCCGAAGTTCCTCCTGCTGCACCGGCTCCTTTACTATAAACAGCCTCCTCCTTAGGAGTAGACAGAGGGCCATCCTTAAGGGCTGGCTAACTGTCGGGGACTAAGGAAATAGAGCCCTGCGTCGCCGTTAGGCCTGCTTGCCCGGTAGAGAGGTCCGGTATTGTATTAGTGAATTAAGACCGTTATTTAGCACTACTATCGCTTACAACCTAATTGGTGGAGCAAAGTTATTACGAGCCGAAGCTAGGCTAAATGGAGGGGGGTTGGTAGGAAGAGAAAAGCGGAGAGAAGGAAATATATAGAGTAAGTTGGCACTAACAGATTTCCCAGACGCAAACGAACTACCCACGGCACCACCATTGACCCCAGATTACTTTGCCTCGCTGGTCCGTCTGCGCACTTCGGGCATTACCATGCTCCGCGTCCAAAGATAGTCACTTGAATCACTTCAACGCATCATGGCGACCACTAGCCCAATTCCAGACAGATCCTATGTATCGAAGTCATCAAAGTACGACCTCGTTGGAAAGCTCAAGAACTTGAACATTCTTGAGCACACTCGACGGAAGAGAGAAAAGCACCACGCTAAATGCGCTATGATTGCAGCCATTCACAATGCTAGTCAAAGCCGTTTCTACCAATTGCCTCCGAAACTCATCCTCACGGTTACCGGTTATCTACCAGCATCGTCCCTGCTCAGCCTTCGAGGAGCATGTCTAAAGCTACATGAGATAGTCATGCAACCCAAGGCCATCCAAGCAGATGAATACCGCGAAATACGACACATGGTCCGCCGCGACGCCTACAGGAAATACTGCAACTCCACGAACGAAAGCCGCGTCGGACTGAGGAATAAAGCCTGCAGTTTCTGTAAGCTCATACATCCGCTTTACATGTTCACCGCCGCGGAGCTCTTAAAGTCACCATCCTAACGCGTCTGCCAGGGCATCTCCGGCTCCATCAAGCTCTGCAAACACATCAATCTCGGCCTCCACGATCTTCAAAAACTGAAGTTCAACCAAAGCATCGATTGCAAGCACGTAGATCATCGTTGGGACAATGACCACCCGCGGATCTGCTGCGACAAGGGCCGCAAGTCCAGCACCGCGATCTGGAAGTTGAACTCAGACTACAATGTCCGCATCTGCACCATAATGCGGTCGGATCCAATAACACTAGAGAGGTTGCAGGGAGCTTTCGATCGGCTGAAAGGGGAGCTGTATGTCTGTCCCCACTTGCGTTTGACCGACTTTCAGTTCACGAATTATTGGCACATGGATTGCCGGTTTATAAATGGGTTTAGCCATTCCACAGCGAATAGACTAGGATGTCGGCATTGTGGTGTTGCGACTAGTTGTAAGGCTAACGGTTGCTCGACGACTTGCATTATGTATCGGTGGCGGAATCATCTTATAGGACGAGATGAGATTGCGATGAAGGTGACGAGGGGATTTGGGCGAGGGGAGCCAACAGATCCGGAATGGCTTGCGCAGACAGACCCAAGCTCGGCGGTAGTGTTGGCTGATATGTCGCTCATGAGAAAGGTCTTAGGCCCTTTGGGAATGTTGGCGGTGCGCCCTGGATCAGGGGAGTAGTGGATGGCTTCGAGGTGATTTGAACCCCCGTCTTGGGTCCACTAGGTGCACCTGGATGATTTGTTTATCTACCGTATGTGAGAAGACCTATTAGTAGCTGTCGACGCTCTAGAACATAGCTGTGCATGATAGACTGCGCAATGGAGCAGATGCGGACCACGTTTCTTATGGCCTATGGTGGATGTGAAGCTGTACATACATAGTAATCGAGATCATCCCAATCCACCCTCAGAAATATACTATAAAACTTCGTAAGTTCAGAAGCGTGTTAAGATATAGGCTTTCTGTGTTCAAGAAGTCTTCCGGTGTATTCTTCTATCTGTCAGGTATGCCCGGTTCCAAGCAGACCCACACCCGCTTCCTTCTAGTATTGAACCGTATCGGGGCCTGCAAATTGAACGACCGAATAGATCTCTTCGCTTCCGCTGAGTTTTGGATGATTCTACCGCTCCCTGACTGACGAAATCGTGAAGTTCCTCACATGCCTCTGGCAGTTGGGCACGGCTACGAGAAGATGGGACCTCGTGGCTACTACTTGGAGGTCAAGATGATGATACTAGTAGACAGTGAGCCAAGATGACGATAAAGGGAGTAAAGTAATAGAACTTCGACTAACGGTGGAGGTTCAGGCGACCCCTCTTCTCCTTCGCCCTCAAGGTGAGTGAACGCTTTCTCAGTAATAGCTCCTAAGATCATGATTGTGATGTTTGATGTAGTAGCGGAGGCGCAAAGAAGTACGCTCGCGTAACAGTTGAAAGAGCGATATTCAGTATAATCTTCGATAAAGCAAGTGTCCTGTGAAGTGAAGGGGGACAAGCCGCAAGCGAAGGACTCGAAACAAGGAAGTAGCGTGATTCTTTACCAACCCCATATTCAACACATTTATTGTACGCACTTCGCCATTTCGTATATTCCAAAGACGCGAACATGAACTTCCCCTATATCGTGACTGCGGACCTCGTTATACAATGCTCCTTTCTGGGCAAGAAGCCGCGAGTGAGCGCGTACGTAAGCCCACGTGACATGTCAGTGACAGAAATAGCTACACTACTCACGAGCACGAGGCGCGCCAAGAGTCCCAAAGCTGAGTCTTCAAGGGAGACTAGCGTTCGGGGTGAGGCTGACTTGATCTCGGAAGATCCGACGTCGTCCCCCGAGTTTTATGTCGAGGGCCCGCTTTCGCTCGACTTCAGCCATTGTTCAATTTGAAAACGCAAGGACAGGGTTCGTTAAATGCCTATCTAGGCAAACGAAAGATTGCGCAAGCTAGAGCTTATGGATTCTTAGTACTGTCGGTTTTTAGGAAGTCTGGTCTCGTATCATTGTGGCAACTTCGGCTTTGGAGCTTCTAATGGCACGAGGTGCCTCGTTATTGGTACAGCTGCACTCGCTCGCCGCCTGACTGCGGTTTAGACAGTTAGCGGAGGGAAATGCGCCCCATTGGTCTTGCCTCTGGCCTTTTTAACTCACAGATTTTCGGATAGCAGCCCACCCTACCTTAAAAGTGGATACGTGAGGGGAAAAAAAAAAAGTAAAGTGAGCGGAAAGGAATAGTTGATCTGCGAATTGCTTATCAAGAGTTTGTGTACATCTAATCGCTTGCCGACTGGTTGGCTTATTTCGTCGTGTTGCACATATATGGAGGGTATGAAACTGTGATCCCTTCCAATGGCTGAGATGGCCTCCATATTCTGGCCTAGAAAGGGATGATGCTGGCCAAAATGGCCAGATATGTCTCGTCCAGGTTGTTAAGCATGTTGCGAAGAGGATTAAGAAGTGGCAGATTTGACATACATGAAAACATGTATGGATCTGAATATGGACGTGGTGAGTTGATCGAGCTTGAGGTCTAGCGTTAAATTTACTTTCTCTTGCTGTTCCTCTCTAAAAACATTCACCGTCGCCACAGTACCCTATAAATGTATCGTTAATCTCTTGATATATATGTCCACCACAGCCCCAGACAGGGCCTCATGCATTGTGCACCACCACCACCACGCACTTCCTCCGGACACATCTTTAACTCCTAAGCCATCGCTTCTACTCAATATGCTTGAGGAAACCGAGATGCCCGAGGTTGCCAATATGCCTAAGGAAAGCAATATGCCCAAGGAAAGCGATATGCCCAAAGAAGGTAAACCGCCAATTCCCCAGAATCTTCAAGAATTCAGGAAGGCCGTGCGATCTCTTCATCGACCCTGCAATTGCCCAAAATGTAACCCTGAAGTCTTCAGTCCCGCGACGCAGTGCAAAAAGCACCGAGAAATAAGCAGTGGCGAGGATGCAGAGAGCAATGAACGCGTTCCTTCGCTGTCTATACAATCATACGAAGACATGTACCTGGTCAACCATGTCATTGCGTATATTAATCGACAAGCTCAAGGGGCTCATGCATACAAGCTCCAGAGGGACGCCCTCGAGCGCTGGCAAGCGCTCGCGAAGGATGGAAGATTGCTGGCTCGACTCGCCAAGAAGGACATGAGGAACAATGTCTCAACCAAGCAACTGCATAAAGTGTTGGAAATATTCAATGACCTGTACTTCTTCGGGGCTTTGAAGAAGGTCAGGATCTTTTACGGAACCAGGTTTTGGAGAAAGCATTGGGGAGACCTCCTGGGCCACGCGCAGACTTTCAAGGGAAGAGCCGGGCTGCATTCAAAACTGGAACTGCATTCGACTCTACACTATCGCACTTATTCAGCCTCTGGTATGCCTATTTCGGAGATACTAAGCACTCTACTGCATGAGGCACTACACTGCTTCTTCGACCAGTCCACCGCCCCTGGCTGTCGTGATAAGCAATGCGACTTCTGCAAGACGAGGGTCGAGAATATCGAGCCTGGACACGGAAGAGCCTTTCAACTCGTTGCCAAAAAGCTTGAAGAAGTCGTGTCTGGCCAACTCGGATTTCCGCTGAGAATGGCTAGAACAACGAGCTTCCTAGGGGATTTGGAGCGCGAAGAAGGACAGTGGCCTAGCCTCCACGACTTGACTGTCTGGGGTTTCGCGTAATGCTCTCCAGAAATCAGCAAGACTACATGGAAATGTACACGGCAGATACCGCCTCCGTCATGAAAATGAGGCTCACACGACAGAAAATGAGGTTAAGAAAATGCTCAGATCATTCGGCAACGAACCTCATCAAGTCTGAGGACCAATCTATAGGGAACTAGAATTTGTGTTGAAGATGAAAAAAACGTCAGAAGTTATATTAGCAAACCAGAATGTGACTGAAAATAGCAAGAGAAAAAAGATGTGATTGAAAGTGACTCCTTGTCGGAAGGATGTCGAAAAACTTCTGACCATGGCGAACGAGTGAACTAGGAAATGGACAGTGCAGGGGTTTAAGGCAGCAGTGAGTGATTCGCTGTGGAATCCAAAGACGTTGAATTCACCATCAGGTCTTATACTAGGGCCACTCCCTCGTACCAAGATTAGGCTCCTAGTTTCTTTACACACACCACCTCCACAGTCTGCGCAGTGCCTCATTGAAAGCCTCTTGCACCGTCAACGTCCAACACCAACAGCGCCACCGCCACCACTACACCCGCTCCCACAAAGTGTGTTACCCCTTCGACCACCTGCGTCCTTCCGGGATGCCTAGGAAGGAATGGGTCGCCGATGACTTCCGAGAAGAACTCAATAGGAAAGTGAAGTCCCTCAACAGAGTCTGCACATGCCCAGCATGTAAGCCGGAGGCATATGACCTTGATACCCCGTGCTTGTTCTCTCCGAAGTGCAGGGAGATCCACAGCGAAACCTCTCCAGCGAGCAAGGCGCCGGTCCCTTTCCTATCGGTAAGATCATACGACGCGATGCACTTGGCCGATCAGACGATGCAATACATCGACCGCAAAGGCCTTCAGGCGTACAAGCGCCAAAGAGATGCCATACCGCGTTGGGAAGCGCTCGTAAAAGACGGAGACCTGGTGGCAAGACTCGCTCGACGGAATCTAAAGGACTCCGTCCCCATCAAGGAGCTTCAGAAAGCGCTCGCGGTTTTCAATGACCTGTATTTCTTCGGGGCTTTGAAGAATATCAGAATCGTATACGGAAATCGTCTTTCGAAGAGCAATAGACTCCAAGGGTTCGACCACGCATTAACCGAGGACACGGGACAAGCTTCGACAATTCTCATCAGCTCAACTCGACACTGGGGAAAGGAAGGGTGGGAGGTCTTGGCTACCTTGCTGCATGAAGCTTTGCACTGCTTTTTGGACCAGCTCACTTCCAAGCCCTGTGGGTACTGCGCGCCTTGCAAGCAAAGAGTTGATAACATTGGCGTTCATGGACACGGCAGAGCTTGGCAGCTTGTGGCGATGAAGCTTGAGGAGGTTGCACCTGATCAGCTCGGCTTTGATCTTGACATGTATAGAACAAAGGGTCTTTACAACGACTTGGTGACACACCAAGAAGGGGAGTGGCCGAGTATTCATGACCTGACTGTCTGGGGACTTGATGAGGGATGAATGCTCACAAAACTGACGAGGATGCTTGGAAATATAATATGCCCAGCAGATCCGGTCCACTTTCATTGAGATTAGCTTGCAAGGCATGGAGTACGAATGTCGACAAGAGCGGCCATGGAAGAGCCTAGCTACGCCTAGGTAAAGAATCAAAGAGGTGGTGCCACTTGCGCTAGGCTTTTCTGTCAAGCTAGATCCAGTTTGGCACTAGCAATACGATCTCGATGAAGGCACGCCGCTACCTGGCACCCATGATCTAGAATGCTATGCAGAGTGATGCGACTGAGGTGTCGGATCTGTTCTGCTTTTCCCTTGCTTGGGCTTTGGAGAGAACTGTTCACCCTGTCCTGCTTGTTATCCCTACGCATTCGTCCCCGCTTCTCGACACCGCCATTTGACCTGCCTACATGTGCCCTCCGTTCTATGCATTGAATTGTTTGTGTATATGATGGGTGTGAATGTGGTGGTAGGTGGAGTCGGACGTCAATTGTCTGCTTGCGGAGCGGTTAATAACGAGGCAATTCATATTAATAGCAACGCTTTATCAGCCTAAACATATTTTGAGCAAGTTTACAGTCGACAAAGATGTTTACGAGCCGTACTTACGTGTGAGATCTATGAGCTGAGGTTTCCGTAGGTATGGGCTGGCATGAAAGGGTTGCGGCTGGTAGAAAGGCCCACAGAAGTCACGAGCTCCTCGTCCAATTGCAATGTATTAAACAACCGAGAGATGACATTGAGTCTTTGATTGTGCTCCTAGGTATTCTGCTCCAATCTTTAATATACAGTTCATCCAGCGTAGTCTCCTATGGGTAAGTATCTTCGCCTGGTTTCTTGGCCTGTGTATGATTAGCACTGTCTTTCCTGACACCACACCATCATTCCACACTCACAAGCAGCACACTGGGCCCTCCTAGCTCAACCTCTAGTCCATCCGGGAACGTCCGCGGCACCGCCTTCTTATCGGGATAGAACAGCTTCACCGTCAAGCCCAAGCCCACCACACTCAGCACAAATGTCCCCATCAGCACACCGCCCCAACCTGCTCCAAAGTGGCGGTATTCTTCCGGCGAGAAGACGCCCAGAATGTCGTTGTCCTCGTGCACTGGCTCGTTGTAGTTGCGGCGCTCCTGCTTGTCCCACCAGTCGCCGTAGGGATCGCGGAGTTGGCGCTTGATGGGCGGAGGCTGTTCGTAGCCGCCGTTCTGGGAGACGTTAGTGAGTGGCCGACTATGGGCTGTGGAGTCGGCAGACCATATTGGGGTCGTCGATGTCGGCCTGGGTGATGTTGCGGATCTGAGTGAGGGATGGGCGGGTGGTGGGGATCACCCGGGTCAGCGGACGTGCCGCGGCGATGCGGCGGGAGAGCATCTGGAGGTGTTTAGCTGGCTGCGGCGGGCGCAATTGGTGTGCGATTGAGGCGGGAGACGTACGTTGGCGGTGGGAATGCCGTCGGTGGTGGTGCGCAGAGATGGATGAGGTCGTGCGTGAGGTCGTCGTGATTAGCCTCGTGCACGTGACCCCTGCTGACCACCAAAGCCGAATGCCAGGATGCCGCGATGCATGCCCCAGGGTTCGAACAAAAAGTGGCAGTCCGCGAATCTGTGGCTCTTGCTAGACAGACACTCTGTCTGGGCTTGTTTACACTTGCTTAGCACCGCTTGAGATGCTCTGGTGCGTTATCAAAACTGTAAAACGACACTTGGACGAGGCTGACAGCTCCTCGGCCCAGGCAGAACAGATGGCCACTTATTGTTCAACGACCCCTGCATGGCCTCAGAAGGCAGCGCGAACGTGATGTGAATATGGAGGCAGTTCGACAAACTCGTCGCAGCTGCTGCAGACTTATGAGATGGTGAATGAGCCCCATTGCAATCACATTCTGTAGCGTTCTTTGAGGTGCGGTGTCATGGCGCCAAGCAGCCAGCAGCCCTTTTGGCGCGGCGCATCGACGTCTTTTTCGATTCCTCCAACATAACAAGCCCACGCCGCCGAATCGCCCGTAACTCCCCGCCACAGCCTCCGAGTGATGCCAGACTTCTCCACTGCAAACTTCCGCCATCCCTCTGCCCACCGATACTACATTCGACCCCGTGCATGAACGGCTGCGTTGGCGAGTAGTGGTCTGTTGTCTCCTGCATCGCCCTCGCGACTCTCTGGCGATGAGCGGCGGAACGCTGCCTGTCCAACACGACAACACCCCCTCCGACCACGTCCATGGCGACCGCAACGCGCCACCCTCCACCGACGAGCCCGCCGCCGACACCCCCGAGACACATATAAATGGCCATGGCAAGTCTGGCGAAGCGGCGGCGACGTCGGACACTGGTGACGATGGGGGTGTTGCGGAGCAGAGGCCGGCCAAGAAGCGCAAGCTGGACGACCTCACAGCGCGGCCGCGCTCCATCTCGCGCGCCGTGTCGCCGCCCTGGAAGTCGTCTGTTTTGGATGGGCCGACCACGGTCATCGTCGACGGCAAGCGCAAGTCGACCCGATTCAATCCCCTCACTCCCGAGGCCGCGCCTGAGCGTGCAAAGCGACCGACACGCGCCGCCGCAACGAAGCCCGTGAATGACAGCGCGGGCAGGCAGAATGGCCACCGCGTCGCTTCGACTCCGCTGCCGTCCAAGAACAGCAAGCCCTACGGTTCCCTGCGAAAGACGCCCTCCTCCGCCTCCCTCAAGGCCACCCCTCAGAGCCCCTCTCACCGCCCGCGCAAGGCCTCCGGCGCCCACAACACACCTTCACTTGCCAACGGAGACGTGCCCATCAAGCGTGGACCCGGCCGGCCTCGCAAGAACCCTCTTCCAGCTACACCCGAAGTCAAGAAGAAGCCGCGACCTCACCGCGAAAGCAACGCCTCCGAGCTCGCGACCCCCAACGGCTTCCACGACGACTCCCAGGATGACATGCCTCCTCCCTCAGGTCCGACACCCCGACTCAAGCTGAAGCTACGACGCCCTGACCCCATCATGCGGCACCCCGGACACACGCCACAGCCCAAGTTTGCCTCGTTAGCCGAGTTCCTCGAGCACGACGACCCACTAGCCGACGAGGACATAGGCACATCTACACAGTACTTGTACCCCCGCACCGAGAAACAAATCCAACGTGAAGTAGATGTACGTTTGCGTATCGTGGAAGCTGCCGAGCATGGAGTCCTGAGCCGAGAACGGTCCAAGGTGTGGCTATCCGAACCCGCCAAGGAACCGCCACAAGTCTACGGTCACTACGAATACGTGGTCGCGCACGCTCTACACTTTGGGAAGCTGCTGAAGAGAGAGAAGGAGAATCACAAGCGGCTGGCGAAGCGATTAGCACAGGAGGCCGTGGAGAAATGGAATAAGAAGTATAAGAAGGTGTCCACCGAGGAACTTCACCGAGAGGAGCTGAAGGCCAACAAGATCCGAGCCAAACAATTGGTCGCCGACCTGGAACACTCCTGGAAGATGGCTAAGGCTGAGGTTGACCAAGTTCGATTTGCGCGATGGCAAGAGGAGCAGGACCGACAGGGCAAAGAGGTCATGGAGAACATGGTCGAGCAGGCAAAAGCGGTCCTTGGCAAAGCTCGACTCGATAATGCTGGTTCTGTAGCGCCCAGCGAGGAAGATGAGACCGAAGACGGTGATACCCGCGTAGAGTCAACCGACGAAGGAGACCACATCCTGTCTGACTCTGGGGACGACGAGGAAGATGATGGCCGGGACGATGATCGAGATCTAACTACTGAGGAGTTGCATGCCAAGTACAAGCAGCTTCCAGATCTGCCTTCTGACGATGACCAGGAAGTGGAGGATGAGAACAGGGACGAGGAGGTTGAATCTGGAACCGACGTGGATGATCACGCGTCTAGGATCGAGCAGGATGACGACGACACGCAAGATGCTGATGACGCGTCAGAAATGGACCTCGTTGAGGACAAAATTCCTCTGAGAGAATTCGAAGATCTTGACGGGCCGACTAGCCCTGGAACACCTATAATCACCAATGGCAACTACTCCATCAATTGCGAGGACGAAAACAACCAAATCGACTATTCCAACGTTGTATTGGAGGAGGTTGGCGACGCCCTGTTGGAGTCATCAGACGAAGGCACATCGGATGAAGGCACATCTGACGACGAGAGTGGATCTGAAGTGACCGGCTACGAGGACGAATTCGACGAGTTTGACGGATCTGAAGAGGACGCCAATCCCCTCCTAGGGTTCCTTTCCTCCGCCGAGATTGCGAGGATCAAGAATGCCAACCAGGCCGCCCTTCAGGCTGAAACAGTGGAGGCGCCTACTACCAATGGAGTGGGTGAGGACGAAGACTGCTTCGAGCGTCAAGACCATGCCAATATTTCGAATGGTGTAAAGAGATACCATGATACAGCTCACACGTCAGGGGGAGAGGCATCACAATCTCCAGTTCAGAACGGCCACCATGCAGATTCTGATCATGTGCACTCACCATTGGAGGAACGCAATGATGTCGCACCTCCCGAAGTTCTCGAGAAGACAAATGGCGTGCACCCGGAAACGGATGATGCCGTGGAAGAGATGGACGTCGATACTCCTCAACAAAATCAAGTGTCTACAGACATTTCTCGAGCAGCTTCGACAGACTCCAGAGTAGAGATACCGACTGTTCTACTGAGAGGCACACTTCGAGACTACCAACACGCCGGTCTGGATTGGCTCGCAAAACTTCACAACGACTCCGGCAATGGCATCCTTGCAGACGAGATGGGTCTTGGGAAGACGATTCAGACAATTTCTCTTCTTGCACATCTTGCTGTCAAGAGACAGAACTGGGGTCCTCATCTGATAGTCGTGCCTACTAGTGTGATGCTGAATTGGGAAATGGAGTTTAAGAAGTGGTGTCCGGGATTCAAGATCTTGACTTACTATGGCGATATCAAAGAGCGACAAAACATGCGTAAAGGATGGAGAAATCAAGATCTCTACAACGTTATCATAACGTCGTATCAGTTGATTATACAGGATGAACAGGCATTTAAGATGCGGCAATGGGAGTATCTCATCCTGGACGAAGCTCACAACATCAAAAATTTCAAGACTCGACGATGGCAGACCCTGCTAGGGTTTCGGACAAAAAATCGACTCCTGCTGACCGGAACACCTCTCCAGAACAATATCGACGAGCTTTGGTCTCTGCTGTACTTCCTTATGCCAGCTGGGCTTGGCGAAAACCAACAAATCGCCGACCTTCAAGATTTCACCAACGCCCTGAAGAAGCCTGCCAATCAGATTCTGGAACAAGGGAAGCAAGTCTTGGATGCTGAAGGGCAAAAGATTGTTCGTCAACTTCATGAAGTCCTTCGGCCGTATCTTTTACGGAGACTGAAGGCGGATGTAGAAAAGCAGATGCCTGGCAAGTATGAACACGTCGTCTACTGTCGGTTGTCAAAACGACAACGACAGCTATATGACGGGTTTTTGGGCCGAGCCGATACCAAGGCAACTCTCGCAACTGGCAACTACATGTCTATCATCAACTGTCTGATGTCTCTTCGTAAGGTGTGCAACCATCCCGACCTGTTTGAGACTCGCCAGATCGTCACATCGTTCGCTATGCGGAAGTCAGTGGTTGCTGACTTCGAGATCAAAGATCTACTCGTTCGGAAGCGCCTCTTGAGCGAGGCTGAGGACGAGAAGGTAGATCTGGACTTCCTGAATCTGTCCTTCGTTCGTCGGGAGGACACTTCAAGACTTCATGCAATACGAACTCAGAAGATTCGCGCAGTTCGACCCTTAGAGGATCTCATTGAACAGCAAACTCGACGAACTAGCTCTAATGCTCGGCTCGACGGCTCTTCCGTCAACTCCGTGCTGACCTACATGGCTGAAAAGGAGAGCGTGTCTAACCTTGACCATCTCAAGGACTGCCTTCGTCTTACACGTCAACGAACGCAATTCCTGCCCGTGTATGGCAAAGGTCTTTTTGATCGCGTTAATCTGGGCCTTCAGGACAAGCTAGGTACGCGAAAGCCTCGACGATCCATCGACGCCGCGGAGTGGTATCTCAACACCTCTACCAAAATTCTCGACCTCGTCCCCACTCTGGAAGAACGAGCCTCTTCACTTGCTCCGATCATCCAGAAGTTCGGTTGTGTGACGCCCGCAGTTGTTGCTACTGATTTGGCACCTCTCACTCTCTCTGTGCCGGGCACTGAGATCGTCCGCGCCTCTCCTATCGCCCAGGCTACCGACGACCCCTTCCATGAATCCCGCATCCGTCTCTCCATCGCGTTCCCAGACAAGCGGCTCCTTCAATACGACTGTGGCAAACTCCAGCGCCTGGCCACTCTTCTCCGTGACCTCCAAGCCGGCGGTCACCGTGCCCTGATCTTCACCCAGATGACAAAGGTTCTTGACATTCTCGAGCAGTTCCTCAACATTCACGGCCACCGCTACCTGCGTCTCGACGGGGCCACCAAGGTCGAGCAGCGTCAAATCCTCACCGACCGCTTCAACTCGGACCCGCGCATCCTCTGCTTTATCCTCTCGTCCCGCTCTGGCGGCCTAGGCATCAACCTCACAGGCGCTGACACCGTCATTTTCTACGACCTCGATTGGAATCCGGCTATGGACAAGCAGTGCCAGGACCGCTGCCATCGTATTGGCCAGACTCGCGACGTGCATATCTACAAGTTCGTCAGCGAGTACACGATTGAAGCGAACATTCTGCGCAAGTCGAATCAGAAGCGCCTGCTTGACGATGTCATCATCCAGAAGGGCGATTTTACGACCGACTACTTTAATCGCGTCACTTGGCGCGATGCGTTTGATGAACTCGCAGACGCACCAGTCGACGAGGCGTCGCGGGCGATGGAGCGGGTGCTGGGCGATGAAGCTGGTCTCGGCGATGTCATTCTCAGCGTCGAAGACAAAGAAGACGCGGTGGCGGCGAAGGTCGCGCAGAAAGAGATGGTCGAGGAGGAAGTTGGTGACGAGGCTGATTTCACTGGTGTCCCTGTCGCTGCTATGGGCGACGACACCATCACGGATGCAGTGGGCACTGTGGAGGACGGCACGGAGGTCGTCGAGGTGGCCGGAAAGAAGGTCCGCATTGGACGCGTGGACGATTTCATGTACGCCCGCGTCTTGAGCGAGTGGATCGACGTCCCGTGGGAGTATGTGCCCAAGGAGAAGAAGCGCCCTAGGAAGGGACAGGACGTGCATCGGATTAGGAAGAGAAAAGTCTGAGATTCTCTTGTCCTTTCCCGGACATGATAAAAACCTAGTGCTGTGGGATGGCGGTAGTGGTGTTGGGTAGCCCGATACCATTCAGTCTATGTATTAGTAGGTTCTTTGCAAGCGATTAGGCGCTTGGCACGGCGATGGTATGATACCGAAGTGCATAATGGATGAATGGACGGATGGATGGGGGTCGGTGTCTGAATTGCATCCGGTTAACGGTGTTCGGGCGTCTCGGTGTCCTTGTCCGGCAAGAAAACGGGGTGCTGGGTGCATTAGACTAAGCAAATGAATCAGCGATTGTATATGTAGCCTTTTTGGCACCTGCGTAAGTCGTGCCAATTCGATTCAGGGCCTTTTCGCGATGTGGAGCTCAGTGTGGACTCATGCGTCCTGACGTCTAAAACTTTCCGCGCATCTAGATCCTTCAGCCGCGTATTGCGCTCACCAGAGCGAGGGAGTAAGTAGTCTTCTTGAACAGCTCGCGAAATAAAACCGTCTTAGATCTTGAGGTCAGGTCCGGTTCGCAACATGCGAATTTCACCGTTATGACACCGAGAAACTTACGCACTTCTGAAGTCGCTCGACATCGTATCACGGCCCTCAAAGCAGACGAACGAGTGGGAGATTTCTATCTGAAAAGCTTCCAGCCAAATGAATCCTCTGATTCGACTTACAGCATAGAGATCTTAACGTTTCTTTCTATCTCCCAATATTCCTCCAGCAGCAGGCCACACTCTCTAGAGCGAAGAGGTTAAAAGTAGAGCGCGTGCTCTCCACCGTCAGCATCCTCGATATTCAGCTCTAAACGAAGGAGTGTGCCGAAACCCTGTATCTCATCCAAGAAACCCTACAGGCATCGCGGTCGGTAACGTATTGCCGCTCTCATGCAAGCCCAGGTAAAAGTCGTTCTCGCCTGGGAGATCAATCAATCCAGGGGAAATTGGATCCGAAGATGCGCTCGCCTGTCTGCGTGTTTTCGCATCTCCGTCTTCCATAGCCAGTATTTGAAGTCGCTCAGTTCAAGTTTGCGAGGAGTTTCATCCACTTTGAAGGGTCACGTGCTCGATTTCCGTGCTTCACCACTCCCATGCTGTCGACCTTATAGGCCGTCGACCACGCAGACACCGAATGAACGCGAGGATGCGTGCTCTTGCCTCGTCGTTGTTAGGGATTGTGATCTGAGTAGCATCGAGAACGGCCCGCGGCAAGCTAGCATTAGAACCGTGTACTTCCAGCTCTCCATTTATCAGCAGCAATCTACATACATCTCCGACGCGAGCTAGCGAGATGCTTCTTTTGACCTCGAATTACATAACCATGAGGACGGAGCAAGAACTTCCGTTCAGTGTGGAGTGGGGTGAGATAATTCCTTGAAAGGATAGTGGGTTACATCAAATACCCGAATTTTAACACACGAACCAAGGATCAAAGTTTCATCACATGTAGCTCGATGTACCGAGCTCTCGACGACGCCGTAGATGAGGAGCCGTATTGAAGAGTCAATTGGAACCCAAAGAGACAAAGAAGCTCTCTCAAAGCTTCCGAATACTAGTATAAGCCTGCAAACAGCCTTAGTACACTACACAGGTGACAGGCTGAGTAATAGATGCACTCCGACCCCATCCATCAATGTTAAAAGAGAATCAATCATCGAACCGCCTCCACTAATTCTGTGTCAATTGTCCATTCCGAAGCTGTCGCTATTGTCTCCACTATTTGGCAAACATACCTCGGAGGATGGGCGGGATACCGACAGAGGCTTGTCATTAATGTCTTGCATCCCGGTGTCATTTGTATGACCACTTTGAGCGCCCAGGCGTCCATAGTCTCTACCCACAGAGTGTACCCATGACAACACATCAGGGCCCAATTTGCGGGGAAAGGATATATGAATGTTGGGGTAAATGGCCCCGTATACTCTACTTTTGAATTTGTAAACCTCGGAAGATGGGACAAGATCAGAAGACCACATTGCTATCATGCATGTTCTGACTGGAGTGTGTACTTTAAGGGACGATATCCTCCAGGAATATCAATCCGACTACGAAGACTTTCAATTGCTGACTCGCTGTCTTCGATTCTATAAACGTACGGCGAAAGGCTCCGAATTGAACTAAGTCAGGCTTCTCTTTACGGCGAAATCGATATGCAATTCAATCAGATCATTGCGGCTCTTGGAACTTGCCTTCTCATCTCGGCGGCACCTACGCCAAGCCCTGTCAAATACGCCGCGAGGTTAGAGAAACGGTCCGTTCCAGGTAGGTACATCACGCACTAAGATCAAAGCTCAAAGCTATGGACATGTCTAACGAAATCGCTAGCTTCAATCGACGACTTCAACGAGCTTCATCGTGCAGCTCAGCTTTCCGCTGCAGCTTACGCAGGATGCTCGAAGGGAGCTTTCGATGTAACTATCGTTCAGCAAATAGACAATTCTACAACGTATACTCAGGTATAAAACGTAGCCCCGGCTTAGCTGCTTAATGACTAAAACTTCAATGACTTCAGGGGTACATTCGATACTCCACTTCTATAAGAGAATCACGGTGGCATTGCGTGGATCTACATCTTGTAAGTCAGTTGGCCCTATTCCTTTCATACCCCAAGGTGAAGAGTAATTGTGGACTACTCCGCAGTGATCGATTTCATAAACGACCTCAACACTACTCTTGTTACGCCGACGCTCTCCGGGGTCAACTTCCCCAGCGGTGCTCAAATCATTATGGGCATCTAAAGCCCTTGGAGTTCCGTGCATGATTTCGTCATCTCGACGGTCAAATTACTCATCGCGGCCGACTACACTCTAGAGGCTACGAGCCATTCCCAGTGATCTTGTTGGAGTGGAGTGGAGTGGATTTGGAAATAGCTCCACTCCACTCCAGCAGAAAGCTCGTGGAGCTCCAGGAGCTCCAGGAGCTCCATATTACCTATAGTAGTTTAGCGCGAGGTAGTTTTAGTGTTGAGGTTGAACTTACTATAGCCGCACGTGACGTGCAGCGCGTCGTGCAGCCCGTTATACAGCCTGCCCGTTTTCCTTATCCTTATCCTTATCTAGGTTTATTGCGCTATCTATAACTGCCTTCTTAGTAGCCTTACAGCGCTGCTGTTCTGCTAATAGGTTGTTATTAATATAATAGGCCTTTTCTACTGCTAGTAAAGCTACTAGTTATATATCTGCCTACTTATAAAGGGTTATATATTATATTAATACGCTAGGCGCGCTATAGGTATATATAAGCTTAGGGTTATAGTAAACCTTTTTAGTAGGTGTAAATAAATAGTATAGATACTTATTAGCCTTAATAATATCTATTCTAAGGCGCCGGCAATGCTTATTAAGTAGGATAAATACTCTACTAAATAGTTTTTTATAGTTATTAGATATTAGCGGAACTATAAAAATATCTAGGGTAAACCGGGCAAAATCTAGCTAAGTATAGTATCTATTATTCTACTACTAAATAGTTTTTTTAATACTAAGCAGCTAATTACTTATAGAACTAAGAATACTATTAACTTTTATTATAGGCTACGCCCTAGACTTCTTTTTATTAACTACTTTATAAGGCTTAGCTTATTTCTTATATTAATTCGAACTAACGCAGTGCTAATTTATATAGCCTATTTAATTTATATAGCCTGCCGGTTTTATAAACTTAGTATAGAATTAGTTCTATTCTAAAAACCTAAATTCTATACTAAAACTAGCTAGGCCGTTCCACTCTATCTAATTTATAACACCTTAATTTATTCTTTCTATTTACGTTATCTATCCTAGTTTATAAGCTGTTACTAAAACCTATTCTAAGATTAAATCTCTATTTCTAGGAATTAGCTAGGCTGCTCTACTCTATCCGATTTATTAAACCGTATACTAATATATATTTTTACAACTTAACCGCTTAAATAGCTGCTTAATTAGCTACGTATTCTATTAGGCCTTAGACGGCCTTTTCCTTTATTTTATAAGTAATATTTACCTATAGTTATAAAACGTTACGTATAGAGGTTCCCTTTAAAAGTTTCTGCCGCGCTAAAAACGCTATAGCGCACGCTAGATATTAGCCTACGCTATAAACCGTCTAGCCCCTTTCTATACGGGCCTAGCGCTAATAAAAATCCGCTATATTAATACTAAGAAACCCCTTTATTACCTTTATACTCTACTTAATTCTCGTCTACTACTATACTATATACAACAACGCTATAAAAGCGCAAGCCCTTACGCTTAAGGCTATAAATATTCCTTTTAACTAAATTACTACTATTACTAGCATATTAGAGCGTATAATTTAGGACGTTTAGAAGAGGGCTATAGATTGCGGCTAGAACCCCTAATAATTACTTAAAGTTCTTAATATATACGTGCAAAATGCACTTTACTCTAGCCGGCCGACTATATAAACCGTAAGGAAGATTGCAAAAATAGAGAAGTTAGTTACTAAAAGCAGAGCTGGAAGGGAATTAAATACTTACTAGCTTATAGAAGAGGTGGGAATCTTAGCTATAACTATATAGCGTATTCTTCGCCGCTACCTTAATATGCGGAAGATAAAACCTATATAGAAACCTAGGCTATAGAAGTAGATAAAGCAGGAATAATTATAGTAGTGCCTTAACTATTAATACTAGACTTTTAAAAACTAGAAAAATATTATTTAGAGCAATAAAACAGCCTTTATAGTTAGCCAGCGCTGTAAAGGATATTATATCTAGTATTAGTTAAATAAACAGTTCTTGCGTATAATAATATAAAAATACTGGAAAGAATACTTAGAGTTAATATTCTAGGGCTGCTTCTTTTATAATCGTAAGGGCCCTTACTATATCTAGCACCTAGAAATAAAGGCTAAACGCGCTATAGTAGATAAAGATCTTACTAAGCTTAATAAAACTATTAAGCCTATTACACAGGCAGAGTAGAAGCTAGAAAATCCTCTATTACGCCTTAGGGCAACACGCAACCGCCTAGGTAAAAAGCCGAAGTAGCAGTTTATACAGGATACTAGAAAGCTTATAAAAGGCAGTAGAATAGGCGTTAATTAGTATTGCTATAAAAAGGAGATCTTAGAGAAGAAGCTTATTCTATTTACCTAGCGTTGCGCGCGCGATTAATAGGGTATAATTATATAGGAATATTATGCTCCTGCGCATATATATTATTATTAAGCAACTGTCTACGCCGCTGCTAAGGTCTAATAACTTTTCTAGGTTGTAAATTCCCTAGATCTTAACGCAATAGAGCCTGCCTAGCCTTACCTTAAGCGCATAACTATAAAAAAGGGCGCGCCAAAGTCTAGAGTATAAAAAGATAAGCAGTAGCGGCAGAGCTAGAAGAATATAGAGCAATAGCGCTGCTAGGCCTAGATTTAACGGATTCTATAATATATCTAAGAAATAATTAGGCTTAAGGGCGGTAATAAGTATAGAAAGGGCGCTATAGAAAAGACTTACTATTTAAAGCGCCTAGATAACTAGGCAGATATTAATAATAATAATAATAATAATAACAACAATAATAACAACGACGACGACGACGACAACGATAATAATAATAACGACGACAACGACGATAATAACTAGGTAGATGTTAATAATAATAAGGGCACTAATAAAAATGCTAAGAACGCTAAGCAATTACTAAAGGCTGTATTAAGGAAAAAGAAATATAAGGAACGTATAGAGGCAGAGCGCCTAGGTGGCCCTAATATCTTTAAGACTAGCAGGGCATTAAAAATAGAGTAAAACCCTGCCAAAATTTCGAAAACGAATACTTATACAGTTAGGTTTATATCTGCAGAAAATAACCCGTTAGCTATACAAACGGAGCTGCTATATAGCCTACCTAGCGCGCCGCGCTATACGCGCTTAGCTACTAGGGTAGCAGCGAACTAAACTTATTAAACTAGTAGAGCTATACTAAATATATAAGTTTTAGAGGGAGTAGAAAAGGTTATTAAGTAGCTATATAGTTATATACCGAGCTAGTGGCGTTTAGTAGCGTATTAAGGCTTAAGCTATATTTTTTAGCGTGGCAGAAACTTTTAAAGGGAACCTCTATAGTTATATAATAATTAGAAGGGCGCACTAGTAGCTAGCGCTAAACGCGCTAGGAACCTACTTCTAGTAGCTATACTTTTAACCTTTTTTTTTTCTTTATATTATAACTTCTATAGTATAGCAATATAACCTTTTCTAATTACTATTTACCTATTAAGTTTTTATACTTTATAATACCTTTTATAATATCTACTATTTTTATAAGAACTATATTTAGTAATCCTAGCTACCTAAAAACCTAGTTTACTGTTTTACCTATTATAATAGGTTGCTATTACTATAATAGACCTAAAAAAGGGCGTTAACCCTACTAATTCTAGCTATACTTTTTTAGGTATATCTAGTAAGGCTGTTAAAGCATCTAGCTCTATAGTATAGTACCTAGGAGCTGCTAGTAAGCAGCTAGTAATACTGTTTTTAAAGTCTAATCTACTATTACCTTTTAACCTTTTTTCTACTTTTATACTTTTTAAGAATATTACTAACTTTATAGCTAGGCTTTTTTCCCTTTCTAGGCCCTTTATATATTAGGATATTAAATATAACTAATAAAAAAAAGGGGACTAGGATATAGGTAAATCTAATAATAAAGAACTATCCGGTAATATAGAAGTAAAAGAGGATTTTACTACTAATATTACTATTATAGTAGTTAAAAATTAAGTACTCTATAAGTTTCCTAGTATAAGCTCCTATATATAGAGCTATAACCTTAATATAAACCTCTAAAATAAAACTATTACCTTCTAATATAACTAAGTAGTTACTATTATATATAAAACTAGGCCTAGAATAGTATATAGAAATATTATTAAGGGAGCTAAAATAGTAAACCCGGATTTAGTTCTAAAGCCTAGAGTAGAAAAAAAACTTAAGAATAGTTTAGGCAATTTTAACGTAATAGTTGCTTTTACTTAAGTATACCCTACTAAAATAGCTTAGCTTCTTAATAGTATCTTACTATTAGCCTTTACTTTTATTAATAACCTATTAGAAGTAAATTTTTTTAAAAAGCACCTTATTTATTTTAACTACCTTAATACTAATTTTAGCCGCCTTTAGCGCTAATAGGCTAGCATCTGCACTATAGTCTAAGTACTAGAAAAAAAAGTAAAGAAATAAAAAATTAAATATAAATCCTTATAGAAGAAGTATAATAATATAGTAACTATAGTCCGGGAATCTAAAACTAAATAGGCCTAGTAGGTAGTAGAAAAGGCAGCTACCTAATTAAAAAAGGCAGCTAAAGAGTATATTTAATAATAGGAATCTGCCTACTATAAACTAGAAGTAAAAAACTAAGCTTTAGCTAAGGAAATCTAGGAGCTAAAAGCTAACTAATAACACGTCCGCGTATAGTTACTAGTTAACTACCTAAAAAACCTTTCTATTCCTTTTTTTTATTAGTTTACACCTAGATATAGTGCCTTAGCCTTTCTAATCCTATTTTAGGAACTATTTATAGCTCCTACTGCTCTATTTAACCTATTTAGAAAAACTAGAATAGCTTACCTAGATAAGCTAAAATAGCAGTGCAATAATTTCCACTCTATAGCGTATATTAAGGGCTTTTCTAAGCTAGAAAAGTTTAAAAAAGACCTACCTATATTATAGCCTTAAATTAATAGTATACTAGCCTACTTTAAAAACTACTCTAAGAACTTTACAGGTGTA